TTTCGTCCTGCTTTTGGTTTGACAGAAATCAGGCTATGCACGCTCTATGTTGAGAAATCAAGCTTTTTTTGTCCTTTTTTTATATACATAACACCGTTTGTTGGTCAGCTGTACTACTTTTAGCCACCGGTATCTTGGTCTATATAACTGCGTATAACGAACCGCGCCATGAACACGTTTCCGCCAGGAGCACGTTTACCATAGGTTTCTTCCTAGCCAGCAACGTTAATATTGATAGCTTTTTCGCGTAAAAACATAAAGCCTGAAAACGTTTTCTAAAGTCTAGACTCCTCTTCTGGACGTTTAATGTACATTTGTACGATAGGCTAAGTACGATGGGCTTGCTGGTATAACAAAATCGTAAATTGAAAAGTCGTGGAAATAATACATTTCAAAAATATAAAAAAATGGTTGCGCATGAGTTGGCTGCATGTTGATACAACTAAAATTAAGTGCGTAAATGATTAACCAACAATGCCGTGCAAAAAGATTACTGTGCAATACATATTGTCACGTGTGGTGACCAAAAAACAGGAAATGAAGAGGAAGAAATAATCGTTTAATGTAGCGAACTTGTGCCGAAAATAAAAGGGTACAAAGATAATATCAGAGCGTCACGGGCGTCGAAGTCGGCCTAGCAGCACAGTCGAACGCTGGGGCGAAACTGACTCCGCTCGCCTTCCGGAATCCCTTATGTAGCCTCGTGGGTTTCTGGATCGTTCGGCGTAGAAGGCTCGGCGCGTATAGCAATCGGAACACGATCAGGCGAGAATGTTCTCGCACTTACGAGAAGCTCAAGTTGAAAGAATTAATAAAAGGACAGTCCGCCTGACTGGAATCGAACCTATACCTTCCACGTAAAAGTCAAGCGCAATAGCCACTGGGCCACGCGCGCGCTTGCTCGGTCACGCGCGTGGAAATATTACATTTGAAGGCACTTTTTTATCAATTGAACCTTTAGAAAAGTTCATCAAGCAACAATGGTGGCCGCCATTGCTTCGACGCGAAGGGCATGATTGGATCCTGGTGCTCGCTGAGTGGTGACGTAGCGCTCGTGTCCAATACCAGCTCACCCGAGCTTCGGGTGCGTGATCAAGCAAGGGCGGACAGGCGTTGACGCCGACTTTTGGAAGCGTCTAGTGGCTGAACGAAATTTGTGGGTGTGCGATGAGGATTAATCATGCAGTTGTCATGCAGACTAGAAGACTAGATACTCGTTTATCCCAAGTAACAGAAACATTCATGAGATTTAAATGTTTACACGTGAATGTGTAAAGCGTACAGTATATTATACCTTCTTTTACTCCAAAATTGGTCATGATTGTCTCTATCGAAGACCGAAAGCTGGGAACTAGGATAAATTATCTTTTTTTTTTAGAACATTTTACGGATGTGTTAAAAATATAAAATAAATGCGAGAATTTTAAGAATAGAGCCACTCATAATCAAATTATTATGCTTGGAGGGAATCTGAAGCACTTTACAAGAAATTCGAGTTAGAAGCGGACTTCCATGCAGCGAGCAAGTCGTCTGCTTCTTGCATAGAAGACGCGGTGACGTCACAACGAAGTGGAGCTCTGATTAACCTTGATTAAAAAGATAGTGGGTAGACCTCAATGCTACGTGCCTCAAGGACTACCCACTATTTGTTTTTTAATCAGCCAATAAGAGCTTGCCGTGCTGACATCATTGCAAATCTTGTGCAAAAAGCAGACGGACTTGCACTCCGCACAGCGTTTGTTCTCAGAAAATTCAGTTATCGCACTTATTTTGGCGAAACTGAACGTAAGCGTAAAATTACGTTCACGTAAAGCGTGAACGTAATTAAAAAATTCGGGCCGTGATTGCCGACTCGCATGCGGCGATCCTTACCGACGCGTGCTATCTGTCCTGAGCGTCGTGACGTCGTTGACGGCATCCTAGAACGAGCCTATAGTAGCGAGGAAGGGTCATCTGACTCGCAAATGACGTAACTTTTGCTAGTGTTTCCCTCTTCTCTCGCGCTTTCCTCCCGTCGGCGCGCCACAACGGTCAGGTCTACGTTGAGATTTTATTTGACAATTACGACACTCCTACTATACTCCGTTCACCCATATGCTGAGACTAGAAGCTCCACTTTCAGCGCGAGCTCGTTGGCTCCCGCAGTGCTTCGGTTGCGCATGCCTGCACGTTCACATTTGTGTTAACGAGGGCACAAAGCTCGCGCTGAAAGTGGAGCTTCTAGTCTCAAATGGATCTTTTTCCAATAAGCTTTTGCGCATGCGTGCACTCCCGATTTCGCCATTTTCGCAGGGCAACGGCCTGCGAAAATGGCGGCAGCAACATTGTCAGCATCTATCTTTACGCGTATTTAGCCTGTTTTGACATTTCGTTTTTTTTTTTTTTGTATCGGTGGTATGGGTTATAAGAAGCACAAAAAAACGATACAACGGCATGATGCCAATGTGTATTGAAGCGCGGAGGCACGTTTGGCTGCTCATCCTATGTAGTTCGCAAACAGGTAAAGGTAAAGCTTCTTTATGTTTCAAAAGTAGCGCAAGGTGTGTCGATGCACGAGGCATGTGCATTGTGCAGCCCTTGGGAAGATTATGGCGGCACAGCGTGGCACTGATTTAGATTTCAGACGACATGTTCTTCCCCTAAGTTGAGCGCGGAACGTGTCTCGAACATTTCCACAACAATGAATGGCGCCACTTTTCCAAGAATAGAGGGGCTTTAGAAAAAGGTTCATTAAGGGTATATGCAGTATAGTAACGCCTAAAGAAAACTTAAGACACATAATTTTTCGGGTGTCTTAATTACAACCATTGGTGCTTGTTCGAATTGAAGGTACTCTTCAGCTTCGCTTTAAGGTAGATCAAGTATTAAAGCGGAGCTGAACGTTGACCATGTACGGTTCGGTGCCTTCCGCTCACCCGCAAGGAGGCCGAACAAGAAATATACCTCAGGACGCACCCTTATCAACTTGGATCGATCGCGTTGGTAATAGATTCAAAAATACGAAAGAGTTAGACAAAAGTTGTTTGTCCTGTCCGTCCCTTTTTGTCTAACTCTTACACATTTATCCCTCAACAGCCGGCGAACGGTTTCCGGCCGGCCAAGCCCGAGCATCTCTCGCCGGCCTCTAGCGCGCCCGACGCCGGGCGCGAGTCTTTGTGGCACAGTTATAGGACGAAAAGCCCCCGACGTAAATGAAACGCTTTTTCATTTTAAAAATAATCGCAGAAATGTCTAGGACGAACAGTCGCTATGACCCAAATATTGGATCTCCTCTGGGTCGGTTATCTTTCGGAGAGTCGGTGTCACTAACGACGCGCTCATAATTTTGTATATTGTGGTCTAAAAATAAATAGATTTAACGATAATAAGTTTCATTCCTCAGCAGCTTTCCAGGTCGAGATAACCTATTTTCTCGGCCTCGGCACTTACTAGACGCCGCCTATTGAATGCTAATTTACAACTTGAACCTAAATGCAATATTAATTATCACATATTAGGAAAGCTGAAGATAATCGCATTTTCAAGATATTTCCTTAATGGTTCGTCTTAACACAAATCAAAACCTTTTGTACATTTTGATGTAAATAACAAAATTAGAAATACTAGAAAACTCGCTTGTTAATGCCACTCAATACAGACAATTGTTTTTCGTACGTTTTTTACTCTGAAATACGACTTTCCCCATGCATCTACAGTTGGGGCGGATATGAGCTGTCGTGTTGACTACCGTAATATCCCGAGAGATAGCCCACCTAAAATCGAGAGGAAATTGGAGGGCTAACGTTCAGTGTCCTTTCAATAAAAGCTTAAAAACATTATTTCAATATCATATGTCCCTACCAAACTTGCTTTTGCGGTGAGGGGCAATAAAGAAAAGAACTGGACATCCCAGACAACAGTGTTCGCCTATATCTAACATAAACAAGGCACATTTACGCCAAGGTTATCATTTATCCACGCACAAGTGTTACTATGAGTGGGCTATCTTTCGGTGTTTCAAATGAAATAGCAAATCAAGCCAAATATAGGGGTGGGTTACCTTTCGGCGGTAGGCATCTATCTAGATTTTACGTTGTGAATTTTATTTTTCTCAAATGATTCCAAGCAACCTAAGCTGGAAGTGAGCTCGGGAGCCTTGCTTAGTTTTGTTTCGAGAAAAAGAAAAGAAGTGTGTTAAACCGACTGCATTTACTTTTGAACTATTGAATGCAGAATATAGAAGGTGACTGATTATTCCCAATACAAGCACAGTTTATGAGAATGCATTTTGATGCAGCTATAATTAGTGTCAGTTTATGAAACGAAAAATAGGAATTGGTGTATGCGCATCATATTAATAACTCCCCCCCCCCCCCTAACACATTCGGGATGAAGAATTAGCCGATACAGATGCCGGACGATCAATCACAAACCAAGGATTATGAACATAATATGCCACGCCTTGTTTTCTTGAGCTGTCGACGACGATAGGCTTAAGACTATGCCATATTTTCCAATCGACAAGAAGTGAAGGGCGTTGTTTTTTCAAGTTTATTTCTCTCGTACCGCGATTTCTTTTTTTGTCGCACGGAGTAGCTCGTTTCTATAGGCTAATAAACCGTAATAAGATGCCAACAACTCGAGACGCTCTGCGTTTCTCGAAGTGCGAGTGACTGTATTTGGCGCTACGATACAGCGATTCTGACGAACCTGCAAGTTTGTTCTTTATTATTGAGCAGGAAGACGGCAAGATCGATGACTGCACTGATGGACGGAACCAATAAACTCTTCTCGAAAAGAAAGAAACGGCGGGGTCTAGCCAGAAAGGGTGCGAAGGAGCCGTCCATCTTTCTTCGGCGTTCTTTTCCTACGGTCGCCGTTTGTTTTTCGCTTGGCCCACTATTTAGTATTCCGAGCCCAGGCTCCGACCGAAGAGACGGTGATCGAGAGCGCGGTGTGAAGGTAGGATGGGGCCTTGCGGCCAGCAGGGCTCTTTTGGTATTCGTGCTGCAGGCACTCACTTTATCGTGGTGTGATGGATGGTCTCGGCGTGGATCTCTTGGTGGGACGGCTTCATCCGAGCTCCAGCATTCCACGCCGGACAAGACGCGTCGCTGACCGGTGCCCATCGTCGCTGTCGTAGTCTGCGCACACACGACCAACGCGTGGGACTTTTAGTCTATACTGTCCGCTGTTTTTCTTTTATTTTATTTTGACATTCAAGAGTTCATGCTTCCTCGTAGCCCGGCCAACAACAAAACGGAACTATGAAATGTGGTAGACTTACGGTCACAGCTGTTTCCGAAAAATGTTTTGTTGGGAATGTGTGTGTGGTTTTTATAATATTAAGTTATGCCGATGCTGTCTTAACTTTTTTTTTAAATATTTTTGTTGGTTTTGGCGGTTGTATAGTAAAGTTAAGACTGATGCCAATTTGATCGTCACACTCCTTGTTAGGGCCTAACAGGCTTGTATTTTCTTTATATTAAAAGATAATCACGAATTGTCATTTCTGTGCCGTATTTAGTATAGGACATACAAAATTGTAAGATTATGGTAAAAACAAGTTGAAGCATTTTCCTCAACAACCTAGAAAAGTCACATGTAACACACGGGCGTGCTTGGTTCGACAACACGTTTCGGAAATCAGAAAGTTGGAACCAAATAGTTAACTACAATGAGGGGTTTAACATAAATACATGCCGATTGATTTCAAATAGTTCTCGGAAGAAAAGTGAACTCACGCAATGACGCTGCACTAATGTGGCATAACAGTATAAACTATGAGCCGCAATCGAAGGTTCCAATTATAAAAAGTCAAGAAAGTTTGTTTTGTAGATGGTGCAGCAAAACGCGGTAATACATTTGGGATCGCAAGACGAGAGCCCACCAAGAGTGAAAACCTTTTCGTTGCCAGACAAAATATGAAATGAATGCCGTTTGACTGCGCTTGTTTCAAAAATCCTGATAGAACCTATCTTTGCAATGGCCGACTCTTTCGCATTCGAGGAGTTTCATAAAAATTCACCAAACGCTTGACATCACATTCGTTTTTTTTTGAGTTTACAGTGCTATAAAGGGGTGTGGTTCTGTCATTATACAACTTCCAGCTAACAGTAAGGTGAATGTGAACCAATATATAACACATAAATAAGCTCCTCCGCAAGAATCATAGCCCATTCCGAGTGCACCTTCAACGGGTCGCGTCATATGGAAAATGTGCAAAAACGAGATGGTCCCTTACTTTAAGCAGTTTAAACTCAGTTCCCTTCACGAATGACTTTGTCTCACAAGCACACCAAAAAGAATAATTTCTTTGAGGCATCCAACTTGCAACATTCACTCGAAAAGGGAAATTCAGAAGCATTTGCATGTGACTGAGTGTTTCAACAACACCTTAACTATAAAAAAAAATTCTGCGTTGCCTCTATGTCAGAGCAGTTCTTGTAAATATAAGGTTTAGAGTCATAAAGGTGTACTGATCTATAAAGGTGTTGCTTTTTTTTATAATATGACATTTTGTTTTGAGAGCGACGAATTGCTTTCCACGCTTAAATTGCTACTTCAGTTCAAATTACCTTCTTCGAGAAGGGGACTACCGTCAGGTTTCATGTCAGTCAATAACGAGAGCTTTCCCTGGGGACTAGCAAGGCCAATCTCCCGGATCGCACTGCAAAACACAGAACATATAGGACTCAGTTTTGAACAATTCTTTTGCTCATAACGTCTGCTCCATAAAACCGAAATGAGTCTCTTTATAAAATAATAAGAGGAGCTTGCCAGAGCTAATGTGAGCGATGTTATTACTTGGAAACAGCTCGCGTTTTGATGACATGAAAGTCGGTAGAAAGTACGAGTTCATCAACATTCGTTTAAAAGAAAAAAAGCAAAAGTATAAAAGGAAAGACACCAAGATTGTAAAAAAAAGCCGTCTGAAATGTGTTCTTCTCTAGACTCCGATAAGTTTAATCACTCACTCGGTGTTTGTGGCCAAGGCACACGGCAACAGCTCTGTTAGTGACTCTCCGACCAATACAGCGTATATAATTCGTAAATATTGGTTTGCGCTCTGTGTCGCGACTGCTCCCCCCGCGAAAAAATAAATGTTTAATATACGCGCTTAACACTATAACCAGTCACCACTCAGTGTAGGTTACATACATAGTGTCAAAAAAAATTTTTTTCTTTCTTTTTACTGCAAAATTTAGCTAGGCATCGCCAAACGCTTATTCTTCTCCCAAAGGTAGGGCTAGAGGTCTCAACCAGATGCCAAAGGTCCAGCCCGGCCCGGTACATTATTCAAATATTATAAATGATTTTATGAAAATTTCAATGGAACAAGTGAGCCCATTTTTGCCTGTTTTCGGTTTCTGGCGTCAAAGAGCCAAATGTATTCGAAAACTCCGTCGGCCGTCATTTACCCATTGAAATGCAGGGCCGTACCCAGAAAAAAAATTTTTTTGGGGGGGAGGGGTGGTTTCGGGGACAACGGTGGCCATTTTGAAAATGTCTATTGTCTTATTTTCGCCTATGAATCATGTGCATCGGTGGCATATAATGGAGAGTTATAGCAAACCGGAGAACCGGTCCCGGTTTGGTACCCGGTAGCCGACCGCCGCCACTGCGCGTGCGCAGAGGTGGAGATTAAAATCGGCTGGCTGCAAGTGCACCGACCAGGGCCGTACACAGAAAAAAATTTCGGGGGGGTCAGGACCCCCTGACCCCCCCCCCCCCTTCCTGGTTACGGCCCTGTTGAAATCTATAGAAAATCACCTGTTACTTTTAAATAAGGTATCGGATCGGGCTGAACCTTTGGCATCTGGTTGTATCCTCTAGCGCTACCTTTGGACGGAAAATGGCCGTTCGGCGAAACCTAATTTATTTTACCGGTAAAAAAAAAAAAAAACAGTGTGATTTGTTTTGTTTTTAAACCCGGTATAATTGAGGAGCCTACAATCCCTATCTTCTCCCGCAGATGTTAACATCACAGACTTTTTCTGTCTATAAAGTGCGTTAAACATATCGCTATAGAATGAAGTGAGGTACGCAATGCGCTTTTTTTTTAGTTGCACCAAAATGATTACGAAAGAAACTTACTCTAGGGTTGTTTTATCCCTCGGGTTAGGTTGCGGACCACAGGGGTCACTAAAAATGTGACAAAATTCGTGAACGGAAATGCCTTAATTACCTTTTTAAAGTTCAATTCTTTTCGGGTCTAGCATCAGGATTGATGCTAGACGTTGTTACTGCCTAGCCATGAAATGAAAATAGAACTTGCTAAAAGTTTGTCCAGGACGCTAAGGGGCTACAAACGAAAACCTTGAACACCGCTCAAAGCCGGAACCGAACCCGCCGAGGAGCGTGTATGACGATGATAATCCCTCCCCTCAACGCCGGCTCCAACACCCATGTGTCCGCGCCCCGGGCCACGTGAGGAGTACGTCACAAGCCCGGCGGGCTCGACGTTACAGACGCTCCTCGGTAGCGTTAAATTTGCTCCAGCGTACGAGGGTTTCGTTTCTGACCTCGTAGCGCCAAGGGTAATTTTTGTATAAATATTTTACATCACGGCTATACCATAATAAGCTCGAGCTTCCAATCTCCAAATACAATAAACCCCCAAAATTAAAAACAATTAAAAATTAGGAGGTTAATTGAAGTAATTTGGTCAGTTAGCCTTTTATCAATAAATTTACGAACTTTTTTTAGTGGCCCTCAGGGTCTCCAACTGAAGCCTGGGCTAGAAATACCCTAACGAAAGTTATTTTTCCTTCAATTGCTGCACCTAAAAAAATAAAAAAAAAGAATATCCTGTATTGCGGATAAGACAGTTCATCCCGTCGTTCCTCGCTACACTTTGTTATATTATACTGGCACATGTGAACATATATTTAAGTTATCCGGTTTCTTGGATGGCTTAAAAACCCTTACCCACCACCAACACGGCAAACACGCAAGTTTGATGTCATTTTATCTATCACCATGATAGTACAGCTATAATATCCATAAACTGAAATAAAATTGTATCGCTAAAAAAATTATTGTGTATCTCCTAATTTTTTTTTTTGTTATTCAGTCGCATTTGGATAATATGCGTTGCTAGACATATTCACTGAATATAACGATTTCAAGAACAATGAGTACAGAAACAACGATATTCTTTCGTAAATATAGCAATATGCACTGTGGATTTACCAAGAAAAGTAAATCATATACTTACTTTTCTCTTTCCTCTAAGCGAGGTTTCGTGCTAGCTGTAAGAAAAAAAGTAAAAAATAAAAAAGTTAACTTGCATTGTTATAGAGATATTATTTCGATCTCATCAACTAGAATGTAAAAATGTGATATGCGTTGACGCATTAAGGATTAGACTTAATTCAAAATCTAGTTTAAGGTCCCAGCTCTATATGAATCATCGAAGTAGTAGGAGGGTGGCCAACTTAAAGGGCATAATGCTTTTTTTTTTGTATTATATCGAAATGTTTTGGTTGAGCAATAAATGATGGAGTGGTATTCTTGCTATTTCTTGACCGACGACTTCAATGTTAGAATAAGTTGAATCATAAGATTTGATTGTTTTGTTCATATAACTTGTATTTAAGCTCGACGCGTAAGAGTTGGATTCCAGGAGGAAGATATACTGCGAAAAATCGACGAATTTCTCCCGGCGGCTTTCGCTCTACGCTTGACTCCAGCACAGTGACTGCCACGTTGCGCGCAAAGCGAGTGCGCCGTCGGTCAAGGTTTTGTCAGGGTTTTGTCCTTTGTTGTAGTTTGCTTGGTTTTAATAACCATTTCTTAATAGACTAGTCTCCCAGTTGGCTATAATGTCACTATTTAAACCTTGAGAAGTTGCAAGACATAATGTCATGTAACCTCACAACTCATTTTATTAAAAGGAAACTAAAAACATTTAAACCTGTAATTGGAAGGCCGATGCGTAAATGTTTCTTTTTTTTTTTTTTTGTCATCCAGTCTTACCCCGGTTAATATATAAACTAACAATTTCTTAACGCCCTCAGAGATCCACCTCAAACGTGGGCGATTCCTACATTTTGGTGGTGACATATTCTCAGGAAATGATTTCTTGATGTATTAGCGTCGTCCCAAACTAAGATAACTACAGGAACAAACCATAACTTCTCAGTAAGATAAAATCTTAATTCTCGCTATCGAACATGTCCGTTGTACCGTTATATATTCGCTCTTGATTAAGGAAGTTAGCGATTTGTCACTTTGACACTTTCACGATAATCATTCTTCTCTTAGAGAATCGCAGAGGTTTACGAAGCTACGGAAATAGTTCTGCGTGTTAAACCAGAAACGTGTGTGCCTTCCTATTTTAGTAATCTATGAAGAAAAAAAATTAAACTACGCAGCACAGAGCCCCCTAAAGAGGCGAGGGTCGTACTTAGAAGCTACGGATATATTTCTGCGTATTACACCAGAAACACTCGTGCCTTCCTTTTTTAGAAATGTCTGATGAAAAAAAAAAACAACTAAACTACGAAGCAGAGAGCCCCCTAAAGAGGTGAGGGTCGTACTTACAGTGTATGCGCTTTCGGATAACAACGATGCTAACAATAACGATGAGTAGTACGACGATGATGACCACGCCGCCGGCGATTCCGGCCATGATGATGAGGTTCTCCTCTTTCAACAGCAGCTGCGCCCATCCGGCCGGACCTGTTCCGGACGTAACGGGAGAGCCGGGTCAGCCGACACGCGAGCAAATGCAAAAACAAAACTGGCGTTGGGTTGCCGTGCTTCAAAATGCAATTCCGAAAGGCATCAAAACAGCTCCTGCTCACAGGACGCGTCGTTAAAATGCGAATAATTCAATCCGCCGGCATTGCTTTGCCAAAACACGCGTCCGGTTTCACACTATGTTCGGCACTGTCAGCTAAACTAGTATCTATTGCCGATTAGTAAATGCCAGCCTGGAAGGCTTACTATTCTCGTTTTTCAAGGAATGCAACTTACAAAAAAGTTTTTTTATTTATGCCTACAAACAGAAATAGAGGATGTGTTATATTTTTGCTTTCAGCTTGTCTTGTGTATAGAAAAATAAAGTGCATTAAGTAGATATAGGCTTTTTGTCAAAATGCAAAAAAAAACAAAAAAACAACAACAAAAGAACCTAAAAACGTTTGTTAAATGTCTGACCCCTTCCATTTCCTCCCCAAATATAGTGCAAGTAGAATCACAAGCGCGCACTAATATAATATTAGCGGTTTTAATTACTCGGCTCAGTAATCTGACATTTCAATGTTCAGAATTCCATGGCAGATGTAAAATATGGTACGAAATTCAGGGACTTATATCTTAGTAATCGTGTTGAATAAAAATAATTACAGGGCGTCGCTAAGCCGTGCAAGCTTGTCTGCGTAGCCTAGTCGGTATCGTGCCTGGCTTGCAACCAAAGGGACGTGGGTTCGGATCCAGCCTTACACACTTCAAAAATTTTCTTGGAGGCAAATTAATTTCTTTATACAGTGAAATAATTTGAGATATGCGGCGGCCTTCATTTCGCTTCATGTATAATGTTTCAGTAACTTTTATTCCACGCGTGAAATCATATTGCACCTGAGCGTTGAAGTTCCCACGCGAGGCCATGTGGCAGTGACATCAAGAATAAAATCACCACTCAGGAATTTTCCCGTCTCACCTCCGCCAACGCCGGATTTTCTGCGACACGAGCTTCTTAAAGGAATACTTTAACGAAACTTGAAATACACCCGTTGTGTTCAGAAATAGGCTGATTGATCCACAATGAGTCACTGAATGACAATCGCACATATGTTTCTTTAGCTTGATGTCTGTCTTCATCGTCTTAAACGGTCCAGTCTGGCAAGCACTTCGAGAGAACCCAGCGGAGAGCACAAAACATCCGGCGCAATCGCGACGTAGTCTGTGTCGGGATGAGCATAGCTGCGGCGAGGCTGACGTCGTCACGATGCCCTAGCCGTTCCAGCCACAGAAGCGGTAGAAGCACGCCAACGGTCGGGCCACCGCAACTAACCGCAAAGCTGCTTTTGTGTGAATTTTGAGTGACGGGTTAATCTTCTATAACCTTGTAGAGGGACAATAGCGACGTCTGGGACACACAAAAACGAGTCCCGTTGAGTGAGGAGTTCATCTCTCCCCTCTTCTCTTGTGCTGGCCGTAGAGCTGTCGGAATGACGTCAGGTTCAAAGCATGTATAGTTCTAGGCGAGACAGTTATCGTCACTACCTGTCAAGTTTCCTAGATGGGCATTACAGACGATGCTTTAGCGACATTCAGCAGGTGCTCTTTGCTAATCGTATAATTCGTTCTAAAATTCATTTTCGTGTATTGTTAACAGGATAATGGTGTTTCCAATGTGGTACTGCCTCCTTTGAACACGAATATACCAAAAAGAAGAAGCGCCGACATTTCGTTCTAGTATTCTTTTAAACCTATCACTTAAAATGTTTTTACCCCACGATCTGCTTTAATTACAAACGTTGTTTAGACAGCGCGCATCTCTCGTGCCTTTGCCACGCCGTCCTTCTTTCGATTCATATATAAAGGGAAGTCAATCGGACGCACTCTTAAAAGCGCATGGTCTATTACCTAGACGGCTTCTAAAGTGCGGTTATCACCAGACCTCATTCGACCCAATTTAAAATAGTCTAATTGGTGATAAGGCGCACGCGAGCTGGTTTACGTTCATGATTTAAGGCAACCCAGAGACAGGGGAAACAAGAAGTACAAACCAGACGAAGTCTGAAAACAGAGACTTCGTCGTGTTTGTACTTTATGTTTCCCCTGTCTAAGGGTTGTCGTAAATCATCATTTAACATTGCAGTTGCTAAATACGAGTCACTTTGAAAAGCAGATGCTAACAGCGCTCAAATTACTATTTGACTCCGTCTCGTTCCTAAAGTGAGGCTTAACCCCACGCCGCGTTTTGTTTATGATACCTAGGTCTAGGAATTTAATTATTGAAATAAAACTCAACGTATCTACGTCATTTTTCAACATCACATCGACAAAGACTTAGGTAAATTAAGATTAATTCGTCGGATTTAAGCATAATCGGGTTCAACCGAAACGCACGCAGTTATCAAAATTCTCGAGTTCCATGAACGTCTGGAGCGTAGCATGTTCTTCTATGGTCACTAAGTGAATGAAAACGACTGGGAAATATTTAGTTCCCTCGTATTCAGCTCAAGGTTTTTACTTTCAATAACTCTTCGTAGACTTGCGTGCTTCGAGCCTTTACGCCCAGGCAAAGCACGGTGTGGGACAACGTGTACGTGAAAAATTCGCTACAGCCGCAGCACTGCAGAACATTAATAAAAAAGCCGGCGTGTATTAACCCTGGGTGTTTCTTACTATTCCTGATCTGGTAAAACTTGCGCTTGGCAAAACATAATTAGTGTCCCCTATGTTTAAATATAGAAAGTACTACATTAAGGAACTTTTACCGAGTGCTTCGTACTCTCCAAAGGTTAATTAGAGAATACCGGGTGATTCTAGGAGACAGCGGGCTCTTTAAATCGACCGGAAAATTCAGTTTTCTAACCTATCGTGCTACGACTTTATGCAGCGTTTCCCACAGATGATGCCTTTAAATTTTCCAAAATTTGCAAAGAGCAAACTTACCCGAGGAAAAAGTAAAGAAAGAAAAAGGCTTAGCTCCCATGGAAACGCAGCGACGCCACCGGTCTTCAAACCACACGGCGCCGTTTCGCGCGGGACACAAGAGATGGCGCAACGAACGCCGCCAACGAACGAGCATACGGCGCGGAGAGCCAGCGTCTTTAGCAGACAATCTTTTCTACTCAAAAGCGGAGCGCGTTCCGCGGACGGCGACAGTCTCAGAAACAAGAACAGGCGCGGTAAAAACAAGGAACTGCAGTTCCTTGTCTGCTAAATACGCCGGCTCTCGACGTCATCTGCTCGTTCCTTGGCGGCAGTTGGCGTCGCGACCTCTTGCGCCATCTCTTGTCTCCCGTGCGAAACGGCGCCGTGTTGTTCGCAGACCGGTGGCGGCGCTGCGTTTTCATAGGAGCTAAGCCTCTTTCTTTCTTTACTTTTCCCTCAGGTAAATTCCCTCTTGGCAAATTTTGCAAAAAAAAAAAAATGCACCCTCTGTGGGCAACGCTGCACAAAGTCGTAGCGCGATAGGTTAAGAAACCAAATTTTCCGGTCGATTTAATGAGCCTGCCGTCTCCCTAAATCACCCGGTAGATAAGCGTGAAACCTCCTTACCCAAGGGTGCAGATTTGATACCAGCAAGAATGAAATAAGAACAGAGCGAAATATGCCAATGTACACTCGATTGTTCCAGCGAATTATTATTGCGCGGTCAAAGCGGTCAAGAAGATAACGTAAAGCTTCAGAATTAGCAAAATCGTGGCTGAGCTGCATTTAAGATACAGTTGAAATCAAGATATACTCACGCCTAAGCAGAGTACACAACTCGTTGCTGTATAGGGTGCCACTACATGTACGGCTGGTAGGGGCCGAAGTTGTTTATTAATGAACTATCGCGTTCAGGTAGCGGAAGAAGTCATCCATGCCCCTTGTGCGCATAAGCAAGTCTTTGTTTTTGTTTTTAGAGAACGTTTTTTTCTGAATTTGAAAGATAATACATGGCTGAGCTACCAAACGCCATAGACTTTCACAAAACAAAAAACTGTAAAGCTCATGCGGTCTGTATACGCAGAATAAGGTGAAATCGGGCGTTCTTGGAAATATTGATGGGAACAGATCTACAAATTTTCTTTGTTTTGCACTCGCATTTACCCACGCATTTTTAGATTCTCCAACGTGCCCTATAAATGTTAAAATTCTTAGGAGAAAGTAAAATGTCTAAACGAATTACAATAGTTTATAACCGGGATATCGAACAAAACCGAAAATAAGAACTGAAAAAAACAACTGTTTTTTTTTTGTTTTCATTCAGAGTCGAAAAAAAAGTTTTTTTTTCTCAAAAAAAAAAAAAAAAACTTCCCTTTTTGTGTATGGGAAAGATAGGACGTCTTAAAAGTGAGTCGCGAGAAAGACTATAACGTGCATACGTTTTTATTATTAAGTTTCTAGGTTGCGTTCTTAAACCTTGGGCTTTCATGTATGTTTTAGACACGAAAACCTTTACGTGTTCACGAAAAAGAAATAATGTGCACGCAATAGGTCATCTGCTGCATGGTCATTCCAAGATTCTTAAATGTGTAACCCGCATAACTTAGAAAGGTAATTGTTCTTGTGTCGCACAATCTGAAAAACGTTTTCAATTTCCTACATTAAAATTTACCACTTTGATTATATAAATACATAGTCCACCTGACAAGCTTCCATCAATGCTCCCGAAGGCAAGCCATTGAGAGCGTGATTTATGCCTGTGTTAGGGCACACAAAGCATCCTCTAGAGCTGTGCACTCATGCCTGTGCTTTTGCTAACATTAAAGCCAACATGTCAGATGGTGCACAGTTTATGTTTTAAATTTCTCACTTTTATTCTAAGCATTCGATTTTGCATTGGTTTAATCCGACATTAACGGCTATCTTTTTTTTTACTCAAATTCTAGAATTGAACCATTTTCCCTGAACAGGAACGAAAGCAGAAATGAAAAAAAAAAACAATACACCAAGAAACTGGGGAAGACGAGGAGACGAAACGTCAGAACGCGTCAGAACGCGAAACGCCGGCGTCC